CCTCCCTTCCTTCCTTTCGCCTCCCTCTTTGTCCCTCCTTCCCTCCCTCTTTCCTCTTGTCCCTTCCGTCCTTCCTTCCTTCCCTCTTGTCCAGGATCGGGGCAAGCCTCTACAGCTGATTCACTCTTCTGCAGCTGTAGCTGCTCTCCTTGGCTCCTGCCCAGAAAACTTGCTCGAGCTTTGCTAGAAAACATGCCGCTTGCTAATTTAGCAGAAGTGCAAATCAGCTGTAGTCCGGCACTGATCCTGGAGCTTCTGCTAACTTAGCAAGCCGCATGTCTTTCGGCGAAGTTGAGCAAGTGAGCTGGGTGGAGCTCTCCTCTGTCTCTGCCTGTGCACAGGCAGGTTTGCTGGCAGCAAAGCCCACAGCCACGCTGGCAGCCTATTCCCCCTCCCCTTGTCCCTTCCTGGGCATGGAGGGGGGGAGGAAGGAAGGGATGAAGAAGGAAGGAAGGAAGGAAGGAAGGAAGGAAGGAAGGAAGGAAGGAAGGAAGGAAGGAAGGAAGGGACAATGGGAAAGAGGGATGGAAGGAGGAAGAGACTAAGGGAGGGGAAGGAAAGGAAGGAAAGAAGGAAGGAAGGGACAATGGGGGAGAGGGAGGGAAAGAGGAAGAGACTAAGCAGGAGGTGAAGGGAAGGAAGGAAGGGACAATGGCAGAGAGGGAGGGAAGGAGGAAGAGACTAAGGGAGGGGAAGGAAAGGAAGGAAAGAAGGAAGGAAGGAAGGAAGGAAGGAAGGAAGGAAGGAAGGAAGGGACAATGGGAGAGAGGGATGGAAAGAGGAAGAGACTAAGCAGGAGGTGAAGGGAATGAAGGAAGGAAGGGACAATCGGAGAGAGGGAGGGAAAGAGGAAGAGACTAAGCAGGAGGTGAAGGGAAGGAAGGAAGGAAGGAAGGAAGGAAGGAAGGAAGGAAGGAAGGGACAAGGAGAGGGAGGGAAGGAGGAAGAGACTAAGAGGGAGGGGAAGGAAAGGAAGGAAAGAAGGAAGGGACAATGGGAGAGAGGGAAGGAAGAAGGAAGAGACTAAGGGAGGGGAAGGAAAGGAAGGAAAGAAGGAAGGAAGGGACAATGGGAAAGGGAGGGAAGGAGGAAGAAACTAAGAAGGAGGTGAAGGAAAGAAGGAAGGAAGGGACAGGGAGGGAAGGAAGAAGAGACTAAGGAGGTGAAGGAAAGGAAGAAAAGGAAGGAAGGGACAAGGGGAGAGAAGGGAGGGAAGGAAGGCAGGCACCCACCCCAGTCCCATCCCAGAGACCCACAGTTTCCCCCCCCCACAGGCACTCTACAACCTGAGTGATCAGCTGGCCACGCCCCCGGCAATTGATCACGTGACCCTGGGACACTGTGAACGTCATAAGTATGAATCAGTTGTCAAGCATCCAAATGTAAATCACCTGACCCTGGGGATGCTGCAACAATCATAAGTGTGAAAAATGATCATAATTCGCTTTTTCAGTGCTGTTGTAACTTCAAACAGTCACTAAGCGAATTGTTGTAAGTCGAGGACTACCTATACTTTCCCATTTTTTCCTCTTTTTTTGGTCAAGTTTTTGATACCCCCCCCAGCCAGCTGGATGGGGGGTTGGGGGTCACCACAACATGAAGAACTGTATTAAAGGGTCGCGGCATTAGGAAGGTTGAGAACCACTGGTCTAGGCCAATGTTTCTCACCTTTGTCCACATTAAGATGATGGATGTCAAATCTCTGAATTCCCCAGCCATCATGCTGGGTGGTGAATTCTGGGAATTGAAGTCTACCCATCTTAGCATTCCCAAGATTGAGAAACACTGATCTAGATCATGAGGAAGGGACTTTCACTCTACTCTGTCCTGGTAGGCCCCATTTGGAATACTACTTCCAGTTCTGGGCACCACCATTCCAAAAGAATAGAATCAGGCCTAAGCCCAGAGACAAGACAGAAAGATCCAATTGAATTCAATTTATTATTTATTCTCTTACACCCAATGGATAGAATCTTGCCAAACTAAAGCTTATAACATTCCAGCTTTCTAAATATATCCTGAGAGATTCTAGGTTGTGGTTCCCCTGAATCTCTTTCCCCCTCTCACGTACTGCTTGGAGCTGAGCGCTTGCTTTATCTGGGCCTCTCTCTGGGAAAGCTCTGAGTTGTCAGAAGATCCCCCCTCTGCTCCTGCAGGTGCACATTCCATCACAGACCATGATGATTGGAATGATGCAGACCAGGGCTATTGAGATGGTGAGAGGTCTGGAAATGAAGCCCTAGGAAACAGTTAAAGGAACTGAGTAAGTTTAGCCTTCAGATATGCAAAGGGCTGCCAAATAGAAGAGGAAGTGGACATATTCTCTATTGCTCTAGAAAAACAGGACCAGAACACCACCTTAAAACTCATAACAATAGATTCAGGCTAGATGTCAGAAAGAATTTCCTAACTATACAAGCTCGCAACGGAAACACAACTAGATGAGCTAATTCTACTTTATTCTATGGTTACTTTAACAGAACCTTGAAGTCTGATAGTACAAATCTTTCGCTGTCCCTTTTACATCCTGAGAAATTAAGTAGATTTATTTTCTGTATCTTGTCAGTTTTATTAACAGATAGAATGTATACTATTAGAATGAAATGGCAGTTGACAAAAGCAGATTGCAGGCTTATAACAGATAACACTTTCTTTTTTCCTAAATATGTTTTATTGATTTTTTTAACATAATCACCTTGATATTTGGTAAACAGCGTGTTGTCTGGGTTTATATTTAAAAAACAGTCAGTAACAATTAGTTTCTATAATTCTATAATCTAAATAGTAGCTTTGCTTGATTTTCTCTTCTTCCAATAATATTCTCTTTTGCCAATCTTGAATTGATACAATTCTTATTATTTTGATAAATAACAATTAAATATAGTCATTTTTCTAATATTTCTGCAAATAATAACCACATCAATATAAAGCTTCTTTTCTAACTGATCATTTTAATTGCCTCATCATAGATCCTGCTTACAAAATTCTTATTTAAATTTGTTTTCCCCCCCATGTTCAAAGAATTCTTACGGGTTAAAATTTTCTCAAAGTTCATTACACTTAAGTATTTAAGTCTTTTTCTGAATCTCTTCCCATTATACAGTTGCAGGCTATGCCCTCTCTTATCTGATCAGCATCTCTTCCTCCCCTACATGCCCCACATGCCATTATAAGCAGACATATAAAGTGGCAAACTCTTCTTTACAGAGTTCAAATCAGAGATTGAATAGTTACCTATCAGAGGTAACAGAGCCTGTGCTGAGTAGGGAGTTGGACTAGATCAGGGGTCACCAACCGCTGGGCCATGGCCCACTACAGGGCTGTGGCCCATTCAGAACCGGGCCACATAAGCAGTGGGCAAGCGTGCACACAGTTCCACTTGCACGAACAGCAGACGCTCGTGCTCACGCCTGCCACTCGCACAGAACCATCCCCTCTTCTCCCCCCAACCACCGGGCTGCCAAGTCAGAAAGGTTGGGATCGCTGGACTGGGTGATTTCTAATGTCATCTGTAATTCCATTATTCTGTGTTCTCCACTCTCAGCATCATGAAATCCAGCGGTACATTACTTGGGCCTGCCCCCTCTGGAATTCTGAATAAAACTGAATGCTTGGTGGGGGTGAGGAGATCAAAGCTACCTATGGCAGGTTGTAGTCAGGAAGTTCAACCCCCCCCCCTTCAAATATTCTTTCTATCTCCCCAAGAAAGGAGGCGAACAACTTTAAGCGGCGCAAGAATTTGTAGAAATATGACAGTTTTGTTCCACCAACAAAATAGGCTCTAGCCTACAAAAACTTAAGGCATAATAAATCAACTGTTCCAAGATGCTGTGCTGCTTTGCTGTAACAGAGGAACCTACCATTCTCTTTTGCTAAACACAGATTAATACAGAATACTGTGCCTTAATCCTTGCAGTGTCTTCCCAAGCAACACAGAACAGGCTGCTCACTTCATCCACTGGGGTTTACTCCCAGGAAAAATAAATTTTCTGAGGATTTCAGCCAAAACAGCATTTCATAAAATATTTCTCAAAATGTCACAGAAGACATTTTTCTCTCTACCCTGATCACCACAAAGGGAACCCATTTTTCCTTTGTGGTTTTTTTTCCTTTTCCTTTTTTTTTTTTTTTTTTTGCTACCGGACTGCATGATGTTTTGATAACTAGTTTAGAATGCTCTTCAGAAGGCACAAAATGCTTGCCAGAGGAAGCTGGGAATTTTCCTAATTTGGCAAGAGAAGAAATACAAAAAAAGAAGACACAAATCAAATCCATTTGGAAATGCACTGCCCTGGGATCATCACGATTTATTTCCAAATCAACATCATTGAATTCTGGCTGCAAATCTACTGTATCCAATCAGCGTGGATAATATAAGGAGTCTCTCTGGCAGTTTTTCTACTACCCTAAGTTCTAAGTTGCAATAATCAGAACAAAACACATTCTGACTGAGGAACTCTGTTTCATCTAAAAATATATCATGGCCCATCAGCCACAATAGACACAATGGTCTCTTTAAGACACAGAGCAAATTCTGTATGTATACATGCTTTCTTTAACTTTCCAGCTATACCAATGTTTCAGTGACATCTCATGATCTGCCAGAATGTGAATTACTACGGCTAGAATTACATGCTCCTGCAGCATATACATGAAATTGCAACTTTCCTGCAGTCATTTAATTTTACTACGGCCATAAAATGAGGAAGAGATTAGATTCCCAGCATTAAGAGAACAAGAAACAACTGTCAAAGAAATTCTTCAAAATTCTATGAGAAGAAACAAGATTTTATGTTGTTGGAAGTTTGCCCAAAACATCCCCCAGCCCCAAAACAACTTTTGAAGACAGCAAGAGAAACTTGCATCAAGAAACATCTATTTTCCAATCCCACCATAATCATCGTGTTTTTTTAAGATTACAGAATTAAGGAAGCAGGATTTTATAACTGAAGATCACAGCAGGAAAAAAAAAAAAGTTCACAGAAGTCCTCTTAATGTACCTGATTTTTAGTTGCCAGGGAGATCATCCAATTTCCTCTCTTTGGAATGAAGAATTAAAGAGGAAAACAAACCAGCTGACTTAAAGTAAAGCCATCCAACTTTCCAGAAGGGCTTTCAAGAGATTGCTCTGTTCTTTCTCCAGATTCTCAAGAGATTCCTTCAAAGTTGGCCATGGCTGATCCTCTTTGGTGGTGAAGCAGTTAAGCCCATCCTCAGCCAGTGGGGGAGGAATGCAAGCCACCGATGGAGCAACTGAGACTGTAGCACTTTGTTTTCCAGAGATCAAATCCTAGCCAATGTCAATTAAAACAGGACTAGTGGGGAGAGCGACAGAAGCTGACCCTCTCCCTCTGCAGAACACCCTCTTCGACTGTCTGTGGGCTGGAGCGTGTGAGGGACAACTCAGCTCACGGACTTGTCTGCCAATGAAAAGCTGGAGATTCCTGGCAACAGAAGCCACAGGCACTGAACTGCCAAGTGAGGGGGACTTCTTCATTTGTCAGGAAGGAGCAAAGAAAGCCTCTAGTGCAGCATCTCTCATAAGCTTGGCATGTTTCAGGTGGGAGGACTTCAACTCCCAGAATTCCGCAGTGAAGCCCATCTGTCGACCTGCCAGGATTGAGAAACATGACTGTGGAGCAGCAAGAATACTCTCTATGCACAAAAACGGAAGGATACTCTGATTCCCGCAATGGACGAATGGCTGCAAAAGTTGATGAAGTTAGCGGAGATGGCTAAACGGGCCACTTTGATTAAAGAAAGAACACAATTTTGTTTCTACGAAGAAAGCGTTTGGGGGCTTTGTGCTTGAGGTGGGAAAATTTGGGGGTTTTGCTCATTAGATAGGTTTGTTATTATAGAAATGGTGAGTATATATTATGTAAAAGTAAGAAATAGAGGTTTTATGTAATTACCTTAGTTCAGTGATGGTGAACCTTTTAGAGACTGAGTGCCCCAAAAACCCCTCAGCCCGCCCGCGCTCTGCCCCTGCCCCGCCCACCTGCAGGGCCACTCACCTGCTCCACGGCCTGCTGCAGATCGCCTAGGTGGCCTTGCAATGCCGTGGCAACCACGCCCTCCACCCGCACCCCGCAGCATCATTTGCACACAATGGGGCACAAGGGCGGAGTCTTGTCCCTGCTGCCCGGCTGCCATGTCCTTGGCTGTGCTCCTCCACGCGGGCTGTGCCTGGGGGAGATTCTCCTCTGGGGGAAGCTGCTGGTGAGGAGGGATGTGGGGGGGAAGCAGGGCTGGGGCAATGGCGCGCGTGCCCACATAGAGGGCTCCGAGTGCCGCCTCTGGCACGCATGCCATAGGTTCGCCACCACTGCCTTAGTTTATTGCACCAAAAGGAATCAGAGGTCACTGCTGTTTTCTTTTTCTTTTCTCCTTTACCCTGTACTTTTCTCTTTCTCCTTTTGCTCCCCTCTTTTCCCATTTTTCCCCTTTGTATTTCTGTATTTTATATTTTGATAAACTAATAAAGAGATTTAATATAAAAAGAGAAACACCGCACTCTCTAGCACAGTGGTTCTCAACCTGTGGGTCGGGACCCCATTGGGGGTCGAACGACCATTTCACAGGGGTCGCCAAACAATGCAGCCCACCATTTTTTCCCCTTTTCCTTAGCTGTGCTACTCCCTTTTATTCTATTGGCTTTTGAAAGCCAATAGAATAGACTCTCTTGAATAGAGTCTAATTCTATTGGCTTTCAAAAGCCAATAGGAATTGTCCAGGCTGTCTCTGCCCTGCTCAGCCCGCCAAAAGTCCCATTGTGCAAACGGTGCTGCATCAGTTGAGTAGTCCTCGACTTACGACTGGTTGAGTAGTCCTCGACTTACGACCGGTTGGGGGTCGCGGCATTAAAAAGGTTGAGAACCACTGATCTAGCATCTAGCTGTCGGTAAGCACCTGCAAGCATCTTCAAGAAACCAGGTTACTGCAGCAACAGCAGATAGTTCCTAAATAGTTCCTTTCTACCATCATCCACTTCTTACCTTTAATGTTAATTTTTTTCAAAAGAGAGGGAGGGATATCAGTATTCTCCAAAGTTGGAAGAAAGGAGGGAGAAGCCATTGGAAAGAATCCCCTTGGGACCTCTCAAATAACATCCCAAAATCCTTCCACCAAGCAAACAGACCCATAAGCAATATTTGATAGAACAGTAACAGTTAATCTTTATTATAGTCTTCGACTTACAACAGTTCGTTTAAGGACCGTTCAAACTTTCAAAGGTACTGAAAAAAGTGACATGATCATTTTTCACACTTAAGACCATTGCAGCATCCCCATGGCCACATGATCAAAATCCAAACGCTTGGCAACTGACTCGCACTTAAGACGGTGGCAGTGTCCTGGGGTCACGTGATCCCCTCTTGCAACCTTCTGACAAGCAAAGTCAATGGGGAGGCCAGATTCACTTAACAACCGTTTTACTAACTTAACAGCTGCAGTGGTTCACTTAACAACTGTGGCAAGATAGGACATAAAGCTCACTTAATGACTGTATCATTTAGAAACAGAAAATTTGGGCTCAATTCTGGTCGTAAGTCGAGGACTACTGTACTAATAATATTAATAATACTTAATTCAAATGCAACACTACATATTGCCTGTCTGGGTTGTATGTGTATTGCTCTGATGTTTAATTCACAAACACACACAGACACACACACACACACACACACATACACACACACAAATATCAGAAAAACAGCCACTCTTTAACATGAAGGAATCAAAGTCTATCCACTTGCTTGCACTCTTTGGGGAACATCCTTGCCAGCATCGTCCCAAAACTTCTTTGATATTTCCCCTCTGCTGAAATTATACTGTTGACTCACAGAGGGTGCTCCCCCCCCCACACACAGCCAAAACCACTTTGCTTCTTTTAAGCAGGGCTCACTCCTCTGCTAGGTAATGGCAACTTGTAAACAAACTCCAGACGAAAGAAAGAAAGTTAAGCCACTTGGAATCATCGCGACTGAAGGGGCATAGAAACATAAATAAATAAAAGGCTACAAAAGAGCCAGATTTACAGCGGATGATTCATTAAGGCTATTTCCACAGTAAAACTTTCCTAATCCTGCTGGGATAGCTATCGGAACGTTGACTGAGCTACTTCCCAAAAAAAAACAAAGGCAAAAAGATGGGTAGATGAGTAATTTCCTTCATTTCCTCCTTCCAAAGTACTTTAACACACACTGCAAAATCTCCCTCTCCACATCTCTGCCACTTGCACTGGCACCCTGAAGCAGGTGATCCCCGAAGACACAGATAAACCCCCAAGTGGCCTCCAGGGCTCTCAGGGAGAGTGCTAACGACCAGGTGACTGCCAAGAAATATGATCCTTTTAACTCCCTTCCCCCGTCCTGTCAGAACTAATCCTTCCATCGCCCCCACCATCGCCCCCACCATCCTGCCAGAACCGATGAAGCTTCTTGGGTGAGAAGCGAAACATCTTCTTCCTCCAGGAAAAAATGGGTTGCCTTTTGATACATAGTCATTTGTATCCTTTTTTCACCACATTCCCTGAACCTGCCATCCATTTTCTCACTCTTCGCCCATCAAATGCCTCTTCGTGAAATTCTGGGCTGCCTCCAATGAGTAGAATGACATATTGAAAGAAGAAAAACAAATGCTGACGCTCCTGCTAAAAGTATAATGGCAGATGGCTTGTGACCCCTTCATGAATTTCAACCACACTTTCTTCTATTATAGTACTATGCCAGGGGTAGGCAACCTTGGCTCTTTTATGACTCATGGACTTCAACTCCCAGAATTCCTGAGCCAGCATAGATGGCTCAGGAATTCTGGGAGTTGAAGTCCATGAGTCATAAAAAAGCCAAGGTTGCCTACTCCTGTACTATACTATGCTTGCAAAGAGGCTAAGCCTAGGTCTTACTTACACACACACACACACACACAGACACCAGGGAGCCCAATTACCCTGCATTTAGAAGAAATAAATTTGCTGTGTCTTGATCCAGAAAAACAGCAGGAACAGCCACATTTTAAACAGATTTCTCCCTCTTTAGAAGTTTTCTTGATGGTCAGTACATTTAAGCTGAGGAACCCTTTGAGTAAATGCCAACCACAGGGACTGAAACATGCTCTTTAAATACGATATTTCTTCCGCAAACACCACTGACTTGTGCTGCAGCCACCAAGCAGAAGCCAAATATTTACAAGATATCACCAGGCTGAAAAAAAACAGTGGGGAAAGGATCCAAGGCGATAAATATCAGGAGGAATGAAAATGGAACCCAGACAGTGCCCGAAAATGGTAAAGTGTGAAAGGTTTAAAAGTCTGCACCTATTCTGGATGAAGGCTGTGTGCACCTTTCAAAGATTATTTTAAAGTCACCCTTTGGACTTTGCATGAGCGTATCACTCTGCTCTTTATTAAAGCAGCCATTTCTTTTAGGCTTGCGAGAGGAAAAGAGAAGCTACTGCTTTAAAAGTCACTTTCAAGACTTCATGCCATAAAGCAATGAATGCCAGAAAAAAGACATTGTTGCTTTAATTAACAGCAGAAAGATGCAGTGCTTTCAATGGCCTGAAGCATCTCTTGCAAACCATTTTCAAAGCACAGCCAGCCCTATTATAGAGGCTAGGTTTTCTTGCAGGCCCTTCAAACTGGCACGAGTAAGTAAATTTTAATTTTGCCAAACCAACAAAGAACACATCGGGAATGGCCTTGGAGGACAGGAGGAAGAGCAAGTCAGATAACAAAGGACTGAGCCTGGATGAAGAAAATAATACAAAAGTGTCAGAAAAGCTCCTCTCCAGTTCATACAGAGATAAAGGGATGGAGGTGAGGGTAGGAATAGGGGAAGCGCATTTAGATACGTAAGAGTCTGTTACTATAGATCAGGGCTTTTCAACTTTTTCACCCATTGTATCACTTTTAGGATATGGCAATATCTGAGTACCACCAGTCGCTTAGCAAGGTGTCAAAAACTTGATGACCAAAAAAAAAGGGAAAAAAAGTGATAAAGTACAGGTAGTCCTCGACTTACAACAGTTTGCTTAGTGATTGCTCAAAGTTACAATGGCACTGAAAAAACTGCCCCCCAAGCCACAACCGAGCAAGACACCTGCCTGCCCACCTGGCGGCACTCTTCCTCCTGTCCGAGGTTTTCATTGTTGTGAGCATTTCTGTTGAGGATTGGGGTGGGGGGGGGTGTTTGATTTTTATTCCCTCCCGTCTGCTGGGTGGTTGCAGCAGGTTCACATGACCCCTGGGACACTGTGACTGTCATAAATATGAATCAGTTGCCAAGCATCTGAATGTAAATCACAAGACCCTAGAGATGCTGCATCATTCCAGCTGATTGGTACTTCTTCAGGGCTCAGCAGAAGCACCAGGATCAGCGCCGAGCTCCAGCTGGAGCCTGGCGCTGATCCTGGCGCTTCCACTGAGCCCTGATAGCCCCGAAGAAGTGCCGATCAGCTGCAAAGAGGCACTGATCCTGGTGCTTCCACTGAGCCCTGACAGCCCTGCAGCTCCAGCCGTCTCTCGCTCAGGCTTGTGCGATGCTGCCAGTGGTTCAGCTCATTCCCCTCCCTCGCTACCACTTTTCTAGGATGGTCGCGTACCACCTGCCAGGTGCCAATGTACCACAGGTGGTACCCGTACCACTGGTTGAAAAGCCCTGCTATAGATTAATACTAATGTTCCAATAAAAGTACTCCCAACCTATATGATATCAGTTTCTTAGTTTGGTCTGCCACAGGGATGTCCAACCTTGGCAA